ACAGACAGACACAGATGGACACACAGACACACAGACAGACAGACCGACAGACAGACAGACAGACAGACAGACAGACAGACAGACAGACTGCCACACACATGCACACACACGACACAGATAGACAGACACAGATGGACACACAGACAGACAGACAGACAGACAGACAGACAGACAGACAGACAGACAGACAGACTGCCACACACATGCACACACACGACACAGATAATCACACATGCACACACAAACACACACACACACAGACGCAGATGGACAGACAGATACAAACAGACGGACAGACACACATACAGATGGACAGACAAGGGGACTGAAAATAAGAGGTAAGAAAGACAACAAGTACTCCCATACTATGACATACACAATGATCCAAACAACATTGATCTCACATGTCAATACTTGCATCTACACTGATGCGTACGCACACACACACATACACACTCATCATGACGTCATACTCAACACCATATTTAGAGTGGAGTGACCTTTGACCCCACGTCCACGGACATGCAGCTACGTCAGTCAATGACTGTGTCAGTAGCTGAAAAAGGTGAAGACGATCAATGAACGACATCACGGGGACATCTTCACAACACACTGCAACACAATGCAATTTACCTGTCTCAGCAAAACCACAGAAACCACCGACAAATGTTACACCTCATTACTACAACTGCCTACGACAACTACCGTATCAACGAAAGAATACTGCTCTCCACCTCAAACAACTCCAACTCTCGTACCGTTGACAACAAAGAAGAAAACGCCAGTTCAAAGAAAGGTCCCCACACAAAATGAATGGAACAACTTCAACTTCAACTTGACAAGCACGAACAGTTACAACAGCATACACTTGATATTTGAACAATCTTCATGTCGATCGCAACTAGAAATATCTATACATCCTCTTGCTCGTCAAGTCTACCTTCGTTACAAAGAACTGAAATGTACTTCATCTACAAGAGGTCAATCAGTAGGTCCCTGAATGGCCGTCACGTTGCGACACGAGACAAGGACAAAGGTGGAGACCAACGAGACGACAGTACTAACGAAAATATGGGAAGTAAACGAAGAGAAAGAGATGGAGTGCCACCATTTGTAACTTACATTCCTTGTTGGAGAAACGTTGATGACAGTGAAAACGATCTACTTTTCTCTTCTTTCTCGCTAAGTGTAGGAAACATGATGAACTTCTCTGGTCTATTGAGAGTTCTGAAAATGGTCTATTCAGTTTCTAACTTGCAATACGGGTAAAGTCACCGTTGAACTTCTCATAGATAGGCACGGCTACAGTTAGTGAGTCTAAAGGAAAGAGTTGAATTGAAGAAAGTCATCCTTGCCGTTTTGTTGAACGTTGTCTTCAAGTAGCAGTGAAGAGAAGAGAAGAAACTTGACGTGGAAGTCCGGAGGGCTTACACCTGCAAGAAGGTATTCAGCTGATCGACGGAATGGTGCAGCGAAGGAGTAACTCACTGTTTGAACTTTGGACTTTGATCTACAGGTCATGAACCGCTACTGAACGATCCACAGTTGCTGACTAGACCGATAAGATGTAGCACTCAGTACGAGAACAAGGTCAGGGAGTGAATCGAATGATTCAGTCGCTAACGTGAGCAAATACACCCATTGGCCATTATGTCAACCAGGTCAGTTAGTGCAGTACCTGGCGGACTTCTACCAAGCATGAGCACACACGCTAGCTCTCAACCGTGTCACTCAGCCTGATGACCTAGCTCTGGAGTAGGCATAGTCACAATGTGCAATATCAGTGATACTATTGCTGTAGGGGATTTCAAATAGACCTATAGCACATGATTGTATTTTTACTTACTGAGAGAGTTGTCCGTTCCTTTAAAGGGGAAGTTAAGGCAAAAATTAAAATTTCACCAGTTGTAGTCTTCGGGGTGCTGAGTCGAATGGTCTTGGTCCGAGAAAGCTGAGACGCTCCCTTCCTACTTGAATCCCAATCGAACTCGCGCACTTCCACCGAAACCGGGTGACTGCGCCCTACTAGATGGGGATTTGTATGCAAAATGTCACTAAAAGGGCCATTTCGTTCTTATAAAAGCACGGATGACCGCGATTGGCCCATATGTTATAGTCTTTTGGTCGCTGAGTCGACTGGTTTTGGTCCGAAAAGGCTGCGATGCAGCGTTCGCCCCTAATTCCCAATCGAACATGGTCGAACAAGCGGTCACGTGCTCCTGCGTACACCAGTCACCTGGTCACCGTGCCTGCAGGGTACAACTTACAGCCTGTTTTGACCTTTTTTGGGTGCAGTCCTGTCACTCGAGTTGAACCTTGGTGTGAAAGTTGTCGCCTGCTGGCGTGGTGACCAGGTGATTTTGGCACCCAGGAGCACGTGACCGCTTCTTCAACCATGTTCGATTGGGAATAAAGGAGGAACGCTGCATCGCAGCCTTTTCGGACCAAAACCAGTCGACTCAGCGTCCAAAAGAGTACAACATATGGGCCAATGGCGGTCATCCGTGCTTTTATAAGAACGAAATGGCGCTTTTAGTGACATTTTGCATACAAATCCCCATCTCGTAGGGCGCAGTCACCCAGTTTCGGTGGAAGTGCGCGAGTTCGATTGGGATTCAAGTAGGAAGGGAGCGTCTCAGCTTTCTCGGACCAAGACCATTCGACTCAGCACCCCGAAGACTACAACTGGTGAAATTTTAATTTTTGCCTTAACTTCCCCTTTAAAGATCTTCTTCAAACGTTGGCTGAGTGGGCTGACTGGAATAAGTAGGTCGTTGAGATAAGGAGAGCGTTATGCTGAACTTGTTATTCACTGAGAGAGCGTTATGCTGAACTTGTTATTCACTGAGAGAGCGTTGTGCAGAACTTGTTATTCATTGAGAGAGCGTTGTGCTGAACTTGTTACTCTCTGAGAGAGCGTTGTAGCCACTACAGACTGATTAGTAGTTGAGAGAAAGAGTAACAATGACTAGAAAGGATAATGCACGACTAACAAAGGTAGGCCAGAGGGACTGTTCAACAACACTAGAAGACGTTTGAAACAAAAGAGAAAGGCAGGGAGACGAAAACGGACAACTGGACTGTGCCTTGAGAAATGGATGACTGAGCGGTGCTGACCAAATAGCGATGTGATCTGATGTTTGAACGAATCGTGCATCACATGCATGTGGTAAATGGCAGGACATGCTCACTGTCTGGCAGACCACGGACGGCCATCTACTCATACATTACTAGTGATACTGCTTTAGCTTTGTGGCTGTGTGCCTTAGCGCGAACTCAGGCATCTTTTGTTCGCAGCATTGCGTGTGTGCGTGTGTCATTGTGTTGTCACGTGATATGCTACACGTCTGCACGATGTCGTCCCGCTCTGCACAGACCGAGACCATAAAAATGTGTTGTTTACCTAGTCATTGGTGACAAGAATCACATTCACACATGTAGACTACACACATAATGGGGGACCTACCCCATTACCACATAACAACACTACCTGGAACCAATCACGATTCAATGCTACGCTCTTCTCATCAAATATGGACAAAGAGCTGATGACATCATGTCTTAGAGCACAGTCCCATACAGACCAGGGTGGTGTTGGTGTTGTCAATCTGATTGTCGTAAAATTCTATTTCATAACTGGTTGTTGCTAAAAACATGTCACCATAATGGCATGGCGGCTCTGAGCAACTTGACAATGACAATGCAGACACTGTACTCGTAGTGAGTTGCTTGAGTGTGGTCTTGTGTGTGGTACGTCTTGTGTGTGGTTTGGTGTAGTATTCAGCAACAGACTGTACATTCGGGTGTTCGTGCGTGAGCAGGTCTACTGTATGTGTAAGCATGCAATGGTGTGTTGGAACCTTGGACTTGGAGGGCTGTTGCTGTTGTTGTTGCTGTCTTTTCCTCTGGCATGTGAATGTGCGTGAAAATCATACTGTAGTATGTTTATTTTGCCAGTGAAAAGGGCTAAAGTAATTCCACCTCCACCAAACACGCTCTCTGGCCAACCTCACACACCAGCAACATGAATCCAAGGCTTTTGGAGAAGAGCGCGTTCGGTGGATGTGGAATAACTTTATAGATAAACAAGCCGAAAGCTGCTGCTTGTCCTTTAAGAACGTAAAAAGTTTGTCCTAGTAAACAAATACATCATAACGTAACAAGGTTTGTCCTAGGAGACTCCCTTCGATAGGCATCTATTTGCCTCTGGAGGATCCGTGAAATATAAATCAATCAATAGTAAACAAATACAGCATAACGTAAAAAGGTTTGTCCTAGTAAACAAATACAGCATAACGTAAAAAGGTTTGTCCTAGTAAACAAATACAGCATAACGTAAAAAGGTTTGTCCTAGTAAACAAATACAGCATAACGTAAAAAGGTTTGTCCTAGTAAACAAATACAGCATAACGTAAAAAGGTTTGTCCTAGTAAACAAATACAGCATAACGTAAAAAGGTTTGTCCTAGTACACAAATGAGCCAGAGCACGCGAAAAGGGCCCTTAGGGCCTCGGAGGTCGAAATTCAGGTTGTAACATTTTTGGATTCACAGTTTAATTTAGATTCAAGTAAAAAAAAAAACAGACCAAAAAATTCCCACGGAACACAGGTACGCCCGTTTTAGTACAAGGCAAATCATTGAAAATATCGCAATTCAAAGATAGAAAACTACCTGAATGGCTATAGAGCATTAGTAAAGCAATACACTGTTTCATCTCGTGTTCTGATGACCTAGTCAAGCCAGAAATTAGCTACAGTCATGGCAGCCATTGCTGGAGAGTACTGGCTAAGCAATACAGCACAATAATCTGGGATTTTGGTAGAAAATAGTTTGAAAAGTACGTATCTGAGCCGCACACTTTATTGGCGTGCTGGATATACATGGAGAAAATCCACACATTGCTGGTGCCAAGGCTAACTAGCCTGCTATCCTACATACCTACAGCAAAACATCTATGATGGCCTCAAGCATCAGGCACTGCAGGGCATAATTCGTCCGCAAACTCGCCAGGAACGAAAGGCCGGATTTCTCGGTACAGGTAGGTCTGTCGTTCACGTGACAGCCCCCCTGCCGGCAGGATGTCAGGCAGACCGGCTGCCATAACTGTGGGCACCGTCACTCCTGTTTTCAAGATAGACACTTGCTGAAAGTTGTCTTCAACACGGCTCTTCACAAGTACCACCCCTGGGTTGACTGCCTCGAACACAAAGTGGTGGAACTGGGTGATCCTTGGGATGGGGCGGAAGTACAGCGGGAGAAATTTATCCCAGTCGTACCACAGCAGCCCAGAGCCAGGGACTAACTGGGCAGCATTGCATTCAGTGCTTTCATTGACTACTGCAGCTAGATGGCCCATCGTGTATGTGTCTGCTCGTCTATATTTCCTCTTGAAGAGTCCAAACATCCCATCTACAAGGCACCGTGTGTGCCCGGTCACCATAAAAGATAACGTAATCTTTTTGTGGAGTCCGGTCATGCAGCGCCAAGCCAAGTATGCCATAACGGTCTTATTTTTGTTTTGTCCACAGCAATTATCAGCATGTAGGAAGCACTCACTCTCTTGAAGGCCATGAGTCTTGAAGTAGTGGTGAATGGCAGATACCACTGTGTTCGGGTTGTGGGATTTCTTGCCGTCTGCGACGATGGTGTCGCTCTCGTCCAAGAGGTAGTTGATTTGCTTAGGGATCCCTTCACAGCACACTCCGAATACTTGGACTTTGCGGGGAGTCTTAAAATACATCGGACCCTCTTGACGAGCGGTCTTCGGCAAAAAAACATTCTGGGCAAAATCAAAAGTGTAATGAGCTTTGCATTGGCTGGTTGGATCTGGCTGCTCGATGCCAGCAGCTGACATGGCTTGCTGTGATTTCAGCTCATCTCTGGCAACTACAGTTTTCTGGATGTAGTACATGTACTCCCGATCTCTCTGGGTATCATGCACATGGTCAGTGAGATCTTGACAGGCTTTCAGCTTCTCCTGTTCCGACACAGCTGACGTCACTGCTCGTCGCAGGCGTTCGCACTTGGAACATACATCAGCACGAGGGGACATGAACTTTATGTGAGGTACACATTGATGCCAAATTGATCGAAAGCTTGACTCAGACATAGCCTTATTGCCAGCGGTACACGTTGATACATAGGTAGCATACACTGACTTGTACGTCTGATATGCTGGCAGAAATATTGGCGGCAGATCGTCCCGACCATGAAGCGGCGCTGGGTGGGGTATGCCGAAACGTTGAGCATGCGCATCAATAAACGCCACGCACCGTTTAACATCTTCAAATGCTAAGGCATTATGTGGCTTCCTCCTGACATTGCCGTGAACTCGTACACAACACACCGTTATCCTCCAAATGCTTGCGAAGATTTTTCAATCGTCTGTCACTGACATCGTACACATGGCGAAAAGCTGTCACACACACAGGAGCCCCTTGGAAACTATACTGATATTAATTTTTGCCTTCTCTGCTTCCCAGGATCATCAGTATGCACACCAGCATAACGACATGCGTCCAATTTGCTGAGAATAACTAGGTCAAACTCTGATCGCTCCAGTTCTCTCATATTCAAAACATTGCCCTCGACTTCTAACGTTATGCTGTATTTGTTTACTAGGACAAACCTTTTTACGTTATGCTGTATTTAATACAGCATAACGTAAAAAGGTTTGTCCTAGTAAACAAATACAGCATAACGTAAAAAGGTTTGTCCTAGTAAACAAATACAGCATAACGTAAAAAGGTTTGTCCTAGTAAACAAATACAGCATAACGTAAAAAGGTTTGTCCTAGTAAACAAATACAGCATAACGTAAAAAGGTTTGTCCTAGTAAACAAATACAGCATAACATAAAAAGGTTTGTCCTAGTAAACAAATACAGCATAACGTAAAAAGGTTTGTCCTAGTAAACAAATACAGCATAACGTAAAAAGGTTTGTCCTAGTAAACAAATACAGCATAACGTAAAAAGGTTTGTCCTAGTAAACAAATACAGCATAACATAAAAAGGTTTGTCCTAGTAAACAAATACAGCATAACGTAAAAAGGTTTGTCCTAGTAAACAAATACAGCATAACGTAAAAAGGTTTGTCCTAGTAAACAAATACAGCATAACGTAAAAAGGTTTGTCCTAGTAAACAAATACAGCATAACGTAAAAGGTTTGTCCTAGTAAACAAATACAGCATAACGTAAAAAGGTTTGTCCTAGTAAACAAATACAGCATAACGTAAAAAGGTTTGTCCTAGTAAACAAATACAGCATAACGTAAAAAGGTTTGTCCTAGTAAACAAATACAGCATAACGTAAAAAGGTTTGTCCTAGTAAACAAATACAGCATAACGTAAAAAGGTTTGTCCTAGTAAACAAATACAGCATAACGTTAGAAGTTGTACTTAAGACTACAGACTGTACTTTGTACTTGTACAGAGTTTTCCCTTCAATCGTCGTGACGTCATTACACATAACACTAGACATAACAACCCAGTGGCATTGAGTTCAGAATGGAAACTTTTACCAATAGAATACACAGTCTTGAGATACAGAGCCAGCTCCTGAATGATGGTATGGTCCCAGGTCGGTTACAGGGACACTCATTTGCCAATACCCAATTTCAGTACAATGGGAGTATGCATCTCTAGCTCTGTGCGGTATCATATGTGGTAGTTCCAGCTACACATTGGGCCTCCAGCCACAGACACAGACACCACATTTGCAGCGGATCACGTTAGAAAATCATTTCCTTCTTACATGACTTGTAGAAAATGACATCTTGTTTGAGATTTTCCACATTTCCACTATGAGACGAACAGCAGTGTAAAATACAGACTCCACTGTATGTCGACTATGCTACACATCAACACTGTCTAACTGCATCGTCACACAATCAACCACTACATTGACTAAGAGTGATCACGTGACATTCATGGCCATCATCATTGCTATCATTTACAAAGCTACATAGAACACAGAAACGCAGTGCATGATATCACGTGACGGAGACTGGCTCAGTCACAGTCAATGACTTACATGCAGACAGTCTAACAGCAACTTCTGCTCAGCAGTAGGCATATGCAGATAATTCCGGAAGACAAATTGGCAGAATTCGGTACTTTTTCTGGTAAGTTTCATGCATGTTTGGTATGTGGATATAGAAATGGAGCAGAATACAAGGAATTGTCCACCATAAGGTTTGCATGGTTCTGCCAATTTCACTGCTTTTCGAGCAGAATCTGCCAATGCCTACTCAGCAACATGGCCAAACATTCTCTTTGGAAAAGTTTTCTAAATTCCTTCATCGTTAGTACGTAGAAGTAGTTTTTTAAAAGTTTTTTAAAGTTTTGTTCTCGCTAAGATCTGTGTTGAGATGATTAGTCGGCACCGTTATGTACGGAGAGTCCCATAAGACGGCGACGGGAGCCTCGCAGACGCATGTCCACGGCGCTGAAAATGACGAACTGAGTGCGCACTAGTACCCAAGCTATCATGGCAGAGAAGGGCTTCTCCTATTTCGCTGCTTTAAAGCGACTGGTGGGACGTTTCTGGTACGCACTGTACTCGTGGTGGAGGACAGCATCAGTGGAACACACCAAAGGAGTAAAGGAGCCTCGTAGCTCTTCAGCGGCATGCTTATACTTCCGCTTCTTCGTTGCAGCTGCTTTGTTGGCGGTGGCATTCCAGGACAGGTTGACCTTGGCATAACTGGGTGCGTCAGCATCTACGATGCGGTTATCGAAAAACGCCACCCGGTTACCTTCCCATACTCCGCGAGCGAGCCAGTCCGCTTGGAGCATAGGGCGACCATTCCTGTCCTGTTCCGGGATGAGGATCGGCTCGATGGTGACGCCGCCGAAGGCAATGTCGAAGCTTGTCATCACTGTCACGGAGGTCGTTGTGGCCTCTCTTGACAAGGCTGCCCTCACGCACAGTATCAAGTATAGCACATACATGTACATGTAGTATAAGTACAGCTGGACAGCGTTTTCCAATATCTAAACTCACTCTACAGAGTTTGGGCAGATTTCAATGTTTGCCAAATTAAAGACTGAAAATGGCCGGAGAAACGTTCTTTACTGGTATGGAGTCATAATTTCACGACATTCCTGTTTAGCCATTGCTGTTGGAAATGAACAGATCTGGGTAGTGTGGTTTGAACACAAACTTCGTAACTACACGTACCTGATTGTAGTATGTAAGTTTCATGATGACAGTGTGAACAAGGTGGACTACCCACTGTATGGGAAAACACTACTCCAGGCTCACTGCAACCATACACCGGTTGCCGGGTAGGGTCTCGATCTTGTGCCCATTTGAACCGTATGGGGCTATGCCCCTGTTCAGACACTCACTACTCTATTGGAGCATTATACTTATAGGAATATTCCCTGATCTCGTGGTCCAAATGGCCGCAAGACCAGGCCCGCCAACCAGTTTATGGTTTCAGTCAGGAACACTGTTTCTCATACAGTGGGTCCTCCACCTTGTTTACGCTGTCATCGTGAACACATGTTAGTCCCTGGATTAATTAAAGAGGGACGACTGTAGACTGTAGTGGTACCGAATACTACCGATTCCCTGGAATGGAGTCAGTGAATCACTGGTTCATTCATTGACACATCTATGATCTAGATCCTGTCAAAGTTGTCACGGCAATGACATCATGTGTGCGACGAAAACTAATTCAGTTTTTCACATTTTTTTCTTTGAATGAATGGAATAAATATTTTTATGACCGGCTGGAAGTGTGTTGGTCAGTGTATCCAAGACGTGATCGAGGCAAACGTCAGGTCGTTGAATGTCAGTATCATCAGTGAATATTGTGGAAAATGCCACACGTTCTGACCCTACATCATCTTGAAAATAAGTTATTGGACAACAACGCACACTGCGCTGTAAACCTTTGGTCCTTTCCTTCTTCTAAGTAATTCTATTCTAATCTTGGCTTTAGATCAGACTGGCAAAGAGCCATGCTTCTCTCACCACCATCATCTATACTTTACGCACGTGGCCTAGTAGATGCATGGCTGATGATACTCACATAGCTGACTGATACCTGTACATCAGGTAGTGTCTGGTGCATAGGCGAACACTCATCCACGACTTGGCTGGTATTGTGACGTAGGTTTCGTGCCTCCAGGACTCATTGCTCACTGTGTGATCAACCATGCGTAAGCTGCACTACAGTGTATACGTTATGAGTGTGATGTAGCAGTTAGCTATGTGCATATCACCAGACATTCATCCACATGATGCTATACGCAAACAGAGCAGAGTAGGAATGGGTGATTAGGATAATGATGTACATGTATGCAGTCCTGGAATAGAATCTACCGGTAAGAGAACATTTTCTTTTTGTCCGTGTTTCTATACATGGCTAGAAAGTACAACTAATCTGTGTGTGTGTGTATGTATTTGTGTCAGCTAGTTCGGTTGGTGGGTACACTTATGCCAGGTAGTGTTGGGTCTGTTGCCAATGGGCTCGGCTGCTTGAATGTGTATTGTTGTACCTGCCAACTGTGTTGGTTTCAGGGTTCATATACTTTCTATTTGAAGTTTACATACCTGTTAACCATGGACTACTTCTGGCTAGAGCAACTCTTGTGTAATCAATGGTGCTAGCGAAGCTTATAATTATCAGATCCACTCTGATTTAGCCACCCACACTAGTAGCAAGTATTACCTTCACCGGAGGCAGGGGTAACTGCAGTTGGATCCCGGGACGTATACCCTGATGCAGTCAATCCCCTTTTCTTCACCTCGTCCTTACCCACTTACTGAGGTGTGGTGAGCCCATAAGTGGGATCATTTGCAAGTCCACCCAGAGTTTTAGGGATTTCAGGAGGTGTGGGCCGTTGCGCGGTTCAATAGCCAATTGAGTGATCTGTCCAAGATTCCTTTTGAGTCTCTCTCTGCCCTCTCCCAAAGGGAGACCGTCGTGACCAGTTATGGCAGTGAGCAAGTGCAAGCATGTGTGCATGCATGTGTGTGTGTATGGGGCGGGGGGGGGGGGGGGGTGCGTGGGTGTGTGTGTGGGGGGGGGCAGCGTGGGTGTATGGGGGGTTCATGGATGGGGGGGGGGACTGTGTGGGGGTGGGTGAGTGTGTGTGTGTATGGGGCCGGGGGGAGTGCGTGGGTGTGCGTGGGTGTGTATGGGGGGGGGGGTGCGTGGGTGTGCGAGAGTGGGGGGTGTGGGGGTGCGTGAGTAAGGGGGGGGTGCGTGCGTATGTATGTGGGGAAGTTTGTGTCAGTGTGGGTGTGTTTGCGTGTGTGGGTGTGTGTGTGTGTGTGTGTGTGAGTCCTTCGTGAGGCTTTGCAAGCCCCCGAGTGGAGCAAACTATCGCACGAAGACGACGACTTGGAACGACTCTGAGCGTTGGCTCATGGAATGTTCGCTCTGTTGTGGAGAGTGATGGACCAGTTCAAGCGGCAGCCGTGAGAGGAATCGTTTCCGATGATAAGCCAGATCCATAGCTGCTGGAGATGGCTCTCTCCAACATGGTCCTGCTCGTCGTTCCATTGTCGACCCCGTAAGGGGACACGTGATCGTAATGGCAGTGTTTACCAGGACCAGGACCAGGACCAGGTGTGTGTGTTTGCGTGTGTGTGTGTGTGTGTGTTTGTGTGTGTGTGTGTGGTGTGTGTGTGTGTGTGTGTGAGTGTGTGTGTGCAAGCTGTTGAATGGTGCAATCCCAGCACAAGTTGCTATGGCTTCTGCTGTAGCATCCCTATCATTGTTTCCGGCGATGGGCGTCAAATGGTCAATTGTGTGTGTGTGCGTGTGTGTGTGTGTGTGCGCGTGTGTGTGTGCGCGTGTGTGTGTGCGTGTGGGTGTGTGTGGGTGTGTGACTTTTAATGTTTTCATATATTGTTTCTCCTGACATGATGTGGGCAGTGGCTACGACTGTGTATTGTATACTGATGACTGTTGTCCGCAGTGGCTACGACTGTGTATTGTATACTGATGACTGTTGTCCGCAGTGGCTACGACTGTGTATTGTATACTGATGACTGTTGTCCGCAGTGGCTACGACTGTGTATTGTATACTGATGACTGTTGTCCGCAGTGGCTACGACTGTGTATTGTATACTGATGACTGTTGTTCGCAGTGGCTACGACTGTGTATTGTATACTGATGACTGTTGTCCGCAGTGGCTACGACTGTGTATTGTATACTGATGACTGTTGTCCGCAGTGGCTACGACTGTGTATTGTATACTGATGACTGTTGTCCGCAGTGGCTACGACTGTGTATTGTATACTGATGACTGTTGTCCGCAGTGGCTACGACTGTGTATTGTATACTGATGACTGTTGTCCGCAGTGGCTACGACTGTGTATTGTATACTGATGTACATTATGATTGTGTTGTGCCAGTCTTTGTCACTTACAGTGACCTGTAGAACATGATGGGGACAGTGACTGTGTGACTTGCAATGGGAGTGCTTGCAGGCAGGCTTGGAGCTGCAATGTTTTCTGTGCCTATATCAGAGCATGGATGCTTGCAGTTTGGATATGGCGGTAGGAATGTTGATTGATTTTTTTATTTGGATTCGCGAGACCAAACGAGCAGGAGTGCTCAATAACAGGGTAGCGAATGGTTGAGTTGTGCTATGTGACAATGTAGTGTGGGCATGGGGTGGTGGTGGTGGGGGTGGGTGGGGGGGGGGGGAGCTGCGGAGGCCCAATACAATGTAAAGGGATGGGAGGAGAGAAGGCCAGCGGAGAGTCAAATTCAGAAGAGGTAGGAGAGAATAGCTGAAGTACACGGTTACTGTGTGAATTCAAATAAACCAAACAAACAGCAAAACAAGTACACAGCTCACGAGAATAAAGAGGACTGGAGCACAGAATTGAACTGCTGAAGTACACAGCTGACGAGAATAAAGACAGGAGCACAGAAATGAACGGGAGGCAGTCTACGAAGTGGTGGTACCATCGGGGCATACACCACGGTACATTATCATATCATCGACTTTGCAAAGTTCATGGGTACTGAATAACATGGTATGACCAACTGTGTAGCAGTCTACAACGTGTAGGGAATGGCAGCTCGGCGGAATGCTGGGATGTTGCCCATGGCTCGCACCGTGTCAGGTATAATGGTTCCATAACAGGCAACCGCGAGATGCCGGTCGGTATTGACCTGCTCGGCTTCTGGCTATTGGTTGTTGCAGGCCCAGACTGCGCTGAAGGCGAGTTGCTCCGCAGTTGCAGACAAACAGTGCCTGCAGAGCAGGACTGGCACGGTCATAAACGCACCGCCATACCAGCACGAGCAGTTTCTGGCGATATACCTCGTCCACGCGATAAACAGAGAGCCTCTCCAAGAGGTCACTGGCCCTGGTAAATCGTGGTCGTCCGAACACCGCCCTTGCTGCGCGGTTTTGGTCCACCTGCAAGCGGTTTAGCTGGTTGTGGGTCAAGCCAGAGCCATATGCTGACGATCCATATAGCAAATCCGGCATGATGACAGATAGGAAGTATTTGCTTCGACTAGCTAGAGTGAGGCAGCGTCGCGCCCGCCACAGACTACCGATCTTCCTTGCAGTGCGTGAGATGCACCGGTCAACTTGCGGTTGCCAGGCCATTCGTTCATCGATCAAGATGCCGAGGTATTTCGCGCTGGTGGTGTGCGGAAGGACATCATTTCGACAGCGTACAACCACGTCCGGCTGCTGCCCACTGCTGCTGGTAAAAACCAATACATTGCTCTTCTTTGCATTTAATACAAGACCACGAGCGTCCAGCCGACTTGAGAGGGAGGTAACCGCCAAGCTGAGCGCATCAGACACCTCTTGCGCTGTCCGTCTTGCACATGTCAGGGCGATGTCGTCCACAAACTGCAGTGATGATGAATGTTGGTTGTGATTATCG